CTCCGAGCGGGGCTGCCCTCTTGAAATACCGCCCATGTAAGTTTCGAGCAGACGGACCGTCTGCCACCAGGTCACGTGACTTGGAAGAAAGACTTGCTTTACGGCTACAGGCGCTGATATACTCATGGAGCTAAGGCTTTTGCTACTCATTTTTCACCTGCTCGACTCCTGGTCATGGCTGAGGCAAGGAAAAATTTTAAACCTTCGGAGGAGGCTAAAAAGAGGAAACGCGAAAGGGATCGTGCTGTAAGCTGCATGTCTGTATGAGCGCTGCTGTTCACCTGGTTCCTGGATGTCATCGACTGCAACGATGTCATTCCACGCAGCACGAGCTAGACGCAGAACTCCCTCATCCAGGATATAGAAGTCCATGTGTGGTAGATTACTAATGCAGCGGTCTGGAGGCTGACCACAGCAGAGTCTCTCAATATCTGTAGGCATGTCTCTACAGTTTGAACACACACACCAGTGCATGCTGTCTGAATACACACTCAAAAGACACCGGCTGACTGTTGACTTTTGCGACAGTGCTGAGTTGCTTGTGGCCACTAGGGGCGCTAAACGTGAAAGTTGCAGGTCTAGCGCCCCTAGTGGCCAAGAGTTACACGGTGTGCCTTTAATCACTGACTTTTAACAAACCTGCTGGATAAACTTTTTTGGAAAATTTCCCAGAATTCCATTGATATGAACAGGAGTACTGGTCGTTTCAGAATGATGGGAGCCTTAACTGCCAGTATAAACCTATTTTATTGTGCACTATTGTCAGTAAATGTTTTGTTGATATGTCGTTGAATGTCTGGGAGTGTCCTGCAGAGGGTGTCTGGAGTCACCCAGGATGCACTGCATTAGAGCCGCTTCTCTCCAGCACAGAGACACATTTCCTGATCAGCCTGTCGAGCCGGTTGTCTCTCGAGGTCAGGCTGCCGCCCCAACATGCAACCCCAAAGAACACGGCACTAGCTAGCTCCCACAGACTGGTAAAAAATTGCAACATTTGACTGCTCACATCCAGTCCCGGCGCCAGCTCAGTATAGAAGGGGGGGCGGCTGAAAAACGTGGAGGGGCAGTGACGTCACGTGTATGCATGCATATGAGAAAACGTATGCAACTTGTATGTAACTTTTTTAAAATATAAGCCACATAGATAAAACGTGATAACAAGTTACAATAATGTGTTGTAATTAACACAACAAATAAAACACTTACAATAACACACGGCCATAAGGAATAATTCTTGCTTTAACGCAACGTTCATTCTAACCCGACCATTAAGAAACAGATGAAGACTCAGAAGTGATACACATGTAGCACAGAGCAACATCAAAACACTCCAAAGATCACACTCGCTGATCTAACGCGTAATCAATTGGTAACAAAGCAGTAACAAAACATTGGTAACAAAAACAGTAGCATCAACAATATACGGATGATAAAATAACCAGCTCTTATCTTTAGTAGAGTTGCAGTCTCCTCTTTTCTGATGAGTGGAATCTCCGTAACAGCATCTCCTTCCATTCATCTTTGAATTTCCGACTGAGATCATTCTCAAAAGCCAGCTGGATGAGGTGGGCTTTCCGTTTATGCAACATGCTGCGTCTGTGCTCGGTAAATACGTTCTTCAACGTGGAGAATGAGTTTTCGCACATAGCAGTTGATGCCCCGAAGGTCAGTGCGTGTTTGAACGCGGTCATTACCGCTGGCATGGCACTCAATACCATGTATTCTTTTGCAACAAGCTGACTCAAAGTCACTTTCTCCTCGTCCTGGCCTGTGCAGCTGTTTTTCAAATAGTCCCGTGCAACTGTGAACTGTCCCTCAATAATTTCTGTGTTGGTCAAATCCAGTAGTGGTTTCACTTTGTTGGCCTCCAAGAAATTCACACTTACGGGATCCAAAGCGTTCAAAGCAGTCATGTATGTCCCATTGCGCTCGCTGAAACGCGCAGCCATTTCACACAAAATCGAGTCGATTATGGCAAAAAACAGGCGCTTACACTCCTGTTGGATGTCTGCTTCGCGCTTCCCAAGGCCTTCACTCACCACGTAGTCCTGAAGGGCCCCGGTGGTCTGCCGCAGTCGTTTTGGAGGGACAGGCGTGCCCTCACATGCATCCCCACTGTCATCCCACAATTTAATAAATTCTGCATCAGATCTTAAAGCTTCGATGCAAGAAGATGCACTTTGAATGAGGCGGACTGCAGTAATTAGATCCGTTTCTTCAGCTTGCAGGATCCGATTGGCTGGGTCCATCAGCCCCAATAATTTGTGCATCACACAGGTCAGAAATTTGAAGGTCCGTTCTGTGATGGCCTTGTGAAGTCCAACAGCTTCAATTTTTACATCGGCACCTGCTCCCGTGCATCTAATTTCTTTTAAGAAGTCCACCAGTGTGGCGTGTGACTTCAGCACCACAGACACCGTGTCAAGATGTCCAGTCCATCGCTGTTCTAACAGCCTTTTAAGCTTTTCTCCTCTGTACTGTGCTGCTACAGTGGGCTTTTTCAGAAATTTATAAAGGGAATTACACACGTCAAAAAAATCCCTGACTGCGCTCGCCGAGGAAATAGCATGAACAACCACCAAATGCAGCTGGTGGTTGAAACAATGAATATAAGGCACTTCTCTGTTTAACTTATTTTGAATAAGCTTCTGCATGCCTCCCTCTCTTCCAGACATGACGCTGGCTCCGTCATAACACTGACTAAGAATTTTATTTACGTCAAGGCCGGCGTTTGACAGTTCATTGAGCACTACATTAGTGAGTGACAGGGCATCACACTTGTCTGTTGTCTGTATTGATAACAGCCTCTCCTGCACTTTGAAGTCCTTGTCCACATAACGCACAACTATAGAAACATTTTCACGGCCTGTCGGGTCTTTAGTTCCATCCACCTTGAGTGTAAACCACGACTCTCCAACATCTTTAACAATTTGCTCTGTTAATTGCTAACTGTTGCTAATGTCCATTTTTATCAGAAATGAAGAGCTAACCCTTAGCTGCTGGCTGGTTACAGGCAACTCCGTACGGCGGGAATATGCACTGATAAGGTCATCACTGCATATTCCCACCAATTGAGTGATGGGTAACATGGGTTCAACTATAATCTGAATTTTAATTTTCAAAACTGTTCATTAGAGTCAGTGGAGTTTCTTCTGAGTTTCTGGATTGTTTTGAATACACAAACTGTGAATAATATATACACTTCTTTATTTAAAAAAAATATATATATACATTTTGACTGAGGGGGCGGGACTGTCGTTGCCCCCTCACGCCCCCTCTTGACGCCGGGACTGCTCACATCAAAGGACCTCAGTTTACTCAGAAAGAAAAGTCTGCTCTGACCTTTCTTGTAGAGGGATCCTACGGTCACGTGACTAGCAGCCACGGCAGCCATACTGTAGGACAACCTCGGCGAGTAACAGATCTGCTAGCTATCTACAGTATAACTGGACGTTCAAAACTAGAACTCTCTCGAACTACATGAAAACTGAACAGAGAATTTGAAACTTCAGCAGTTAGCGACCCAAATATATACTCAACCTAAATTCATGAATCAGATCCTCTGGAAATGCGTCCTAAAATGTATTATTAATGTTTATCGTTACATCCAGGTTTACCACGGTCGCATATTGTCGCATTAAAACAGTGTTTTTTCATGAAAACGTGAACAGAACATTCTGAAAACCTGTGTGCACGTGTATTAAGAATGTATATGTATAATGTATTCTCTGATTAACATTTAATGTGTTTATTGTTACACCATGGATCTATGTGTGGCTACACTGCAGTGGAAATAATGAGATTACATTCAAATCAATGGAGCTTTCTGCGTCTACTGTGAGGAGCCGTATATTTTATTAATAAATACTAGTACGGGGCACCCTCGAGCACGGCTCAGTCGTTCACATGTCTGCTGGCCTTCGGTAAGTCAGATACCCTGTGAACCGGGTGAGGTCCTGTGTGAGACCAAATATATAACAGCTATGCTACAAGCTAAGCTACAGTCTATGGAGCAACCCCACGTTGCAGTCAGACAGTTTTATCCTTAAACTTCTGTTTGTTTCGGAATAACACTAAATCCACCATCAAATTGATTTTACTTAACAGAAATGAAATGATCCGAGCATATTCGGGCACTCTGGGGGCTATTAGTTTTTTGTTCTTGCGTATGGTTGTGCCATTTCTCAAAAACAGAAGAAATCTCAAAGAAACGATTCTTTGAGATGTCTTCTGTTTTTGAGCCGTGTGAAGTAAGGACGGCTGGCAGTCAGTAACACAACTTATTTTCCCTGTCTCTCCTTTTGCTGCAGCCAAAAACTGCAAACATTTTGAACATGTTTATGCGGTCCCGGGTGCATGCCACTATCATACAGCGTTTGCTTGTCCTCAGGTATGGCGGATGCCCCGCGAGTTCAAGGCATCGTGACGTCACGTGAGATATCTCTGTAGATGGCATTGGCCTGAGCTGACCAGTCCAGTCTGGTCCAGGTGGACTCCCAGACTGCCTTAAAAATTATCTCGTTTTAAAAAGATACAAGAAATGTCACCTTTGGAATGAGAAAATAAAGCAACATGTCTTGAAATAAGACCAAATAAGAATAATATTATGAGGAAAATCTTGTTTTAAACAGACAGAAATACTCAAAATAAGATAAAAAACCACGTGATCTATATCTATCTATGATGTATCCATCCATCTATCTATGTATATCTGTATCTATCTGTCTGTCTATCTATTGTCTATGAGCAGATAAGTATTACACATTTTGCGCAGTGCAGCTTTAAGAGGATTGGTGCTCGTTGCTATGGCTACAATCACATGGGTCAGGTGCACGAGAGGCGGACCGAGGAGGACCGAGGAGGACGGGGACGGGACCATAGGCCGGGAGGGACCCGGACTGCTCCTCTCACATCCCCCCGTGCGTGTGTGCGTGAGTCTGTGAGTCTGTTGTCTGCGTCCGTGGCTCCACTCTGCGTGCGTGTGCGTGAGCGTGAGCGTGATGGCGCGCGGCTCGTGTGGCTGCTCCACGCTCGTGCCCGTGTCCCTGCTGCTGTTCGCGCTCGTGACCCTCCTGCTGCTCACGCTGTCCACGCGGGACCTGCCCGGGACCCCTGGCTTCACGGTGAGACCAGACCAGACCCCACGAGAGACACATACACACACACTCGCACGCGCACACAGGCACCAGTTACATTTACCAATCTTCCCTGGTGACAGTCGAGGCAAGGCAAGTTTATTTATATAGAACAGTTCATATACAAGGCAACGGAAAGTGCTTAACAAAACAAGATAGAAACAATCCCACAAGGAGTTAAAAGATTCAGATGATTTTTCTTTGCCATTTGCAGTAAAACCACATTGGAATACATTAGCAAAAGTCACCAGTGTGCACAAGAGAAGTACAGACATAAAACAACATTAAAAATACAGAGATAAAACAGTAAACAAATGTCACTGTGAAATCGATCGACTAAAACAGTTCAAAACAAGTGCAAATCATTAAAGTGCTCTGTTCACACTGATAACAGCCTGTGGAAAAAAGCTGTTAGCGTAACAAGATGTCTTGCATCTCAGAGAGCAATATCTTCTGCCAGAGGGAAGAAGCTGGAACATGGCTTTCCCAGGGTGGCCAGAAGAGTCATTGACAATCCTAAGAGCTTTGTTTAAAAGTCTGGATTTATAAAGAACCTCCAGAACAGGAAGCTCACAGCCCACGGTCCTCTTTGCAGAGCGGAGCACCTTGTTTAAAGCTCTCTTTTCTTTATCTGTGATGTTTCCAAACCACACAGACACAGAACCAACAAGTAAACTCTCAATGGTGCAGCGATAAAAGTTAAGCAAAATCTTAGAATTAGTGGTAAATTCTCTAAGTTTACGCAGGAAGTAGAGACGCTTACTTTAAAATCATTAAAGAAAAAAACAAAAAACCTTATTGATACTCACAAGCGATACATTTCCAGTTTAGGAGCACAGGGACTGGTCTCCTGGTGGTGCCAAGAGTTGGGACCAAACCATAGACTGTAAATATTAAACATGACTTAACATACAGAGGCAGCATTTAAGAAGCTCCTTTATTTGTCCCACAATGGGGAAATTTCAGTTTGATGCATACACATATAGTACATACAGATATACACATCAAGGCATGCAGCGAACATCATATCCGCGCTCCTTATAGGCTAAGTGGGTTAAGTGTCTTGCCCAAGGACACAACAACAGCAGGCATCAGTGGGAGTCGGTGGAGAAGGTCCCATGGTGGGCTCGAACACACGACCTTTGGGCCCAAAGGCCAATGCTCTACCAACTGAGCTACTGTCGCCCACAAAGATATTTGAGATATTTCAGATATTTGCAGCTAAACTCTCGAACAGTCTTCCTGAAAATGTGAGACAGGCTTCTTCTCTGACAATGTTCAATTCCAGGTTAAGATTAAATGGTGTCGTTCATGTCTGTAGTTGTCCTTAAAAGACCCCCTAGATCCTTAAAGCTGAGGTACACAACTTTTCTTGGAATGAGAACAGTGTTTAGACATACAGTATATGTATAAGTCCCACATCAAACAGCGACTAACATTATTTTAATTGGGTACATGTGGTCTCAAATGATTCTTTTTACAAATAAGCTATAATCTGCACAAAAAAAAAGATTCTTGTCTTTTACCTGTTTTTGAGAAATCTGTCATAAAATGTGATATTATGCTATTAAACACAAGTCGACACCACCTGGACTCAAACCTGGGTCGATGAAACGTAAGCTCTGTGGCTAAACCATTAGTCCACCTTTACACACAATGGATAATGCAGAGGAAAACTGCCTTAATCCAGCAACTTTTGCATCACACAAAAATTCATCGGCTGTCTCAATTTTTCAAAGGCGTCCCAATATAAATCCTCGTTTTAGTCTTTGTCTTGTCATTAATAATCTGAGAATCATAACAAGACCTTTTTAGTTCTGCAGCCACATGTTATTTTACCAGTGAGATTTGCAGCGGCGAGTTCTGGCAACACGAATCACTCACTCACGAAACGGCAGCGGGCGGGACATCGAAATTAAAACAATAACAACTTTTACGGGTCGTAAAACTAATTTTGATATTCAAATATCTCGGCTGAAACACTTATCAGTTATCAGAGCATGATTAGGTAATGCCGTTTGAAATATTGGGGCCCCTATAATGAAGACTTGACATGCAAATATTGCTACTTTAAAACTATACACACTGACTTTGCACTAAATACATCAGATTGTAGCTTCATCGTTTATTTCCATCTGTAGTCCCACACTCACAAACACACACAGACTTATTCAACCCTCAACTATTCATGTTTTTAGTGGTAGGGGAAACCGGAGCACCTGGAGGAAACTTATGCAGACACTAGCTTTAACATATCTATGACGAAATAGGAGATAGTTTGAATACAGTATGAAACTATTGAGAGTTTGTCCTATTCCTATATTGCACCTATTCAATGTAATTTATCTGTGTATAGCCCTAAACGACCACATCTCGGAGGACCGTACAAAGTTGTCGATTGGCCACCGCAGATCAGAGAATCAAACAATCGACACCTTCTGACTGTATGAGGCTGTTCACACACTGTAAGCCTGGACCTGAAAGCCCTCTGTTTTGTATTCCGCTCAGGTTTGTCCCTCTTCCCCTGCTGTAGTTCTTGCGTTCCCGGCCTCATATCCCGTGGTTACGTCTTGTTAGCTAAAGGCGGGTTTTAGCACAAAGACCACACGCAGACCCCGGAGTACAAACGCATAATTAGCAGTTGGCGCAGATCCAACTCTCTATACAAGTCCGAGCTGAGACCTGCTCCGTCTGGACCCTCCCCAAAACAAACCGTCCAATCATGAGCGAGAGAATTATTGGTATAATTGGTTCATTCTGAGGGGATGATCCGGGACTTTTACCTTAATTTCTGGACACTCAAAGACGTTTCTCATGGCATTATCCTTTCGCTCCATACACAGTGGTGATAAACTACTACTATAGCCACAGCTGCCCTGGGGCACACTGACAGAAACAAGGCCACCAGTATGTGCCATCAGCCCACACAAACCAGTCACACACACACCAGACTCATTCTAATGTCGGTGAAGTGTCTTGCCTAAGGACACAATGACAGTTTGGCACTTTACATGAATGTTATTAATGTTGTGCTTATTTTTTTGTTATGTGTCTCTTGCGTTTCAATGCAGATTGCAATTTTAGGTATAAAATATCACAATAATATTGTTGTCGAAATACTAAACACCATATCAAATATCGCTCTAATTTCCAATATTGTGCAGCCCTAATTATTATTGTATTATTATGAAATGTAATGTTAATGGATGAAAGCCTGTCATAACTTGATAAACTCCGTCACTAATGATAAAACAGTTAAATAAAACATGTATTTAGTGTCTGTCTGTAGTTTCTCTTGTTCTGATAAGCCTCCGTCCTCTTTGATCTGAGATTCTTTCTGGTAAATGACTGATCAGAACTCACATAAAACAATCCAGAGCTCGACTTTTGCCCCTTTTGTCTCTGTTTGTCCTTTCACTTACAGTGACGGAACGTGCATTTATTCAGTTTCTTTTTCACTGCTCCACGTTCAAGTCAATTCAGTACGTTTTTTTGTATAGCCCTAAGTCAGAGCAGGAGTCGTCTCCAAGGACTGCAGAGTCTCACAGAATGAAAACACAGGAAACACAGAGAAGAGGCCATTGGTCCATGAGAGCAGGATGACCAATGTCCATGAATGATCATAAAATAAATCTTTGGCTTGTAATATCAAACCTTTCTGCGAATTACAAGTATACACTGTAAAACATATTGTTCTTCATAAAAAAGTCAAATCTCTCGTTTATTTTTAGTAATTCTGTTTTGTCAATATCAAGTCCATTCCTGTAGTATTAGAAAAAACAAAAATATTGTTCCCATCATATCATACGGCAATTTTTTTATTGTTTATTTCCCATAACGTGGAACTAAAGCTCTCAAAAAAAAAGTTAGAAAAAAATATTTCTCCTCAAAAACAATTAACATTGCTGGACAATTTTATCTCGTTGTGTTAAGGGCTTTGAGTTGCCCTCTGTATGAGCTGTGCTATACATACAAACTCGCCTTTCCCTGCCCTGCTCAGCTTCAGAATTCTGAGTTCTGGCTTTCACATGCAGGTGGCGCCACTGAGCCCGTTTGGCAATAACATAATGTGAAAATAAATGCCAAATACAATAGACTTCTACATGCAAAATATGATTCATTTTTGGCTATGACCTCATTTTGTCCCTCTGTGTTTTGACTTGTGTGTTTGTTGTGCGTTTGTGGCGCGTTTGTGGCGCCTGACCCTTCTGTGGTAGTTTGGGATCGTGCTGGACGCCGGCTCGTCACACACGACTCTGTACGTTTACAAATGGAGATCGGACAAACAGAACGGAACCGGGATCGTGTCCCAGCACAGCGAGTGTCATGTCAAAGGTACACACTTTCTCTCACCAAATACCCATAGTTTGTGTTGTAGTTGTGTTGCTTACTTCAGCACAAAAGAAGCAGTTTTTTTAAAAATAAATGTTGAGAAAGAGAAATTGCCCTAGTTTTTTCCCAGGTCCAGATTTGATTTTGATTAGATTCAAAAAGCCGTCATGTTGTTCGTACATCTGAAAGTCTTCCATATTCTGGTCTATGTCCGGCAGATGTTTTTGAGTGATGTCACCACTTCTAGATAGCTTTTTATGAGAGAGACCAGAGAGAGAGACCAGAGGGAGAGACCAGAGGGAGAGACCAGAGAGAGAGACCAGAGAGAGAGACCAGAGAGACCAGAGAGAGTGTTGTGAGCTCTGAGCCTGGTTGTGTGTGAGAATGAGTCATCTCTCCACAACATCACAGCTCTGCACTTTGGTCTGTGGTCAAACACGCCAAAGTAAAGTGGACAGGTGCGCCCAATGCCTTCTCTTATGTCACAGCCCCGGCCTGAGAGCTGTGGAGGAGAAGGGAATGTGAGAGGAGGTGACGGCAATGTACACACTGGGAAACATGCACAAGAAATTAATTGGGCGTAACACTAGGACTAAACTTATGCTACTAGAACTCCTCATTTTGACTGCTCCCATTCAAACTAATGGAATTCTGAGAAATTCCTCTCTCTGGTCTCTCTCTCTGGTCTCTCTCTCTGGTCCCCCTCTCTGATCTCTCAGATTCAGATTCAGAATCATTTATTTTCCATTTGCAGTAAAACCACATAGGAAAAAACTGTGCAAGACTACCCCAGTGTGCACCAGACGACACACACCAGAGCTCTTGCTCTTTCTCTGGTTTCTCTATGGTTTCTCTATGGTCTCTCTCTCTGGTCTCTCTCTGGTCTCTTTCTGGTCCCTCTCTGGTCTCTCTTTGGTCTCTCTTTGGTCTCTCTCTGGTCTCTCTCTGGTCTTGCTATGGTCTCTCTCTGGTCTCTCTGGTCCTTCTCTGGTTTCTCTCTGGTCTCTAAGGTCTTTCTCTGGTCTCTGTGGTCTCTCTCTGGTCTCTATCTCTGATCCCTCTAAGGTCTCTCTCTGGTCTCTTTCTGGTCTCTCTCACCACAGCCGCCCCACTGTGGCCCCTGTTGTCCCATCCCAGTAGTAATCCTATCCTGCTTTGCTTTAGAGTTCTGACGGGACCTGGCTTTCACCTGCAGGTGGCGCCAACATACACAGTGTTTTCTGGACAGAAATGTTGCCAAATCATCAGTGTCAAAGTTTAAACCCAAATTATGAAGTAATCATTATGTATAGTTTTTTGCTTGTACATAACCTTTTTATTGGTGCCGATTTTTTTAAATGACGTTGTGCCTGGTCCCGTCGGCAGGCGGGGGAATCTCCAGTTACGCCGGGGAGCGTGGAGCGGCGGCGCAGAGTCTGGAGCCGTGTCTGGACCAAGCTCTGAGCGACGTCCCCAAAGAGCGGCACCGGAGCACCCCTGTGTACCTGGGGACCACCGCGGGCATGAGGCTGCTGCAGTGAGTCACTGCAGAGAGAACCAGGACCCACAGAAACGGCCACCAAGCATTCTCTGTGCTCCTTTTGACCCCTGACTGTGATCTTGACAATGTGCACTTACTATACTCTATTTTAGCTATTTTAACCACAGCAAAGAAACTGAAGAAACTGCAAACTGAGAGGCAGACCACACATTCGACTTTTATTTATCAAATATGACTTCTTCTTCTTCTTCCCTCAGCATCTCCAGCCCGCTGCAGTCGGCTCAGATACTGGAGGAAGTGCAGCAGAAGTTGCGTTCGTATCCCTTTGACTTCAGGGGAGCGGCCATTTTGAGCGGAGCGGAAGAGGGAGCGTTCGGCTGGGTCACGGTCAACTACCTGCTGGAAAACTTCATCAAGGTGAAAGTTTATAGTTTTGGAAGCATAATCACTCGGCGCATGTACATTTTTGGTCTTTTGGTACATTTCTATGTTGTTATTTTCAATCATTTTCTGTTGCCTGGAAACCAACTTTCTATAGCAATAAAACCCCTTTTCAAGGTGCTGGTCTTGGACTCGTTCTGGTCAAGTTCTGGACTTGTCCTGAGCTGGTCCTGGACTGGTCCTGGACACCAGAGAAGAGCCAGTTCTAGTTACCATAGCAACACACTATTTTCTTTCTAGCAGTTAGCATGTAGCCTTACAACAAGCTATTTGTGCCGTATTTCAAGTTATATTAGCTCAGTTTTAGCTCATAAGTACAAAGTTTTTACAGACTTTCTCTCTACAAAATATCCAAGCAAATAGTTCTTCAATGTGAAATAAGCATTTTTTGAAAGATTTGTTGAAAAAGAAAATGTACTGTTGTTTTCCCAGATTATATCAATTAAAAGTGATTAAATGTATGTAAGTTTGGAATAAATGTCTTAAATTTCTATTGGATTGCCCTAAATCTTTAAACACAGGGAATGCAGTGAAAAACAGACATTAGTTAATATGGGGCTGGTGATCAATGTCCATAAATATGGTTGAATGTCAAAAGTCCTGGATCATCACCACTAAATTATAATTCGGGGGGATTTCTCAGAGACCCAGTGTTTAGACGACACCGGAGCGCTGAGGACATTTGCTGGAACTTTAACATCTTTAGGGAAAATTCCGTCTGCAAATCTTTAAAATGAAATGGCAAACTTGGTCCAGACGACTCCTGGGTTAACCTCTTTATGTCCATGTTACGTTTGTTTTTGCAGTATAGTCTGGTGGGCCGCTGGTTTGGTCCGGACCGGGGCACGGTGGGAGCGCTGGATTTGGGCGGGGCCTCTACACAGATAACGTTTGTCACTGAGGACGAGGTGGAGGAGCGGACGGACTCACTCAAGCTGCAGCTGTACGGACGCCACTACAGCCTCTACACACATAGCTACCTCTGCTACGGCCGCGACCAGCTGCTCAAGAGGACCCTGGCCCACCTCGCCGCGGTAACACGGGCTCACCAAAACAAATAGCCAATCAACGCAAGTAATTGGCGATTTTAGCCTCAAGAAGAACTTCTAGCTAAACCCAGCACGTACATGTCCCCCCACCCCTTCTGAGTGCACTGTTTGAAAAAATACTCTCATTAAGTAAAATGATAATAATAATATATACAGTATAAGGTACTTTTTATATAGAGTACATTTCATACACTGGTGATGGGAAACTACTTTGGCCACAGCCGCCCTGGGGCACACTGTCAGAAGCAAAGCAACCAGCATGTGGCATCAGCCTCACCGACCACTACCAACCATTCACAAACACACCAGACTCATTGTCAGCAGTTTGGGTGAAGTGTCTTGCCTAAGGACACAGTGACAGGCTCTTTACAGCCGCAGCTGCCCCACTGTGGCACCTGGTGTTCTCAGAGGTCTCCCATCACAGTACTAACCAGGCTCTCTCCGGCTTAGCTTCAGATTTCTGACAGGATCTGGCATCACATGCAGGTAGCACCCCAACTATGACATCACCAGTTCTGTTCCGTTGCCTTTACAAACACGTGTATTAATTATTCCAGTCACAACTTTTGTCGATTCTTACTTTTTTCACCCTGGCTATAATCTTTTAATCCACTTCCTCTATGTATACCCATGTGTATTCCTGATTTATGAAAAAATATTGCTACAGTGATACAAATACTGCATGATATTCTCTCTTTAAGCACATTGTTATTATCTGAGTGTCTAAACCTGAGACAAAATCACAACATGTTTTCTCATTTTGTGTCCAGACACAGGGAGTGTCCAGCCAAGTCACTCACCCGTGTTTCCCCGCTGGCTTCAGTCAAAGCGTCCCTCTGAAAAGCATCTTCTCCTCCCCCTGCACCTCCTCCTCCAGGCCCCAGGACCCTCACACCGACCCCCAGGCAGAGCTCATGGTCCAGGGCTCAGGAAACTACCATCACTGCGTGGGGAACATCACACAGATCTTCTCCTTCGACAAATGCGCCTTTTCTCACTGTTCTTTCGACGGGGTCTTCCAGCCGAACGTCAGCGGTAGCTTCATGGTGAGGGACCATAACGAGCTCTGTGGGAGAGGGGGGGTGGATCGTGTTGTAGCTGCGACGGTTGGCACTTCTTCTTCTGTTATAGGCATTTTCTGCTTTTTACTACACTCACTCCTTCCTGCTGAAAGTCACCGGTGTGAACGTGAGAACTCCTGAACAACTGGAGGAAGCAACGAAGAAGATCTGTGGCCTGAACCTCGACCAGGTACGACTCACCTGTGGTTTACTGTGGGGAGGGTCTAAGGACAGGGAGGATCCAGGACATTTAGATTCTTTATTGATCCCCCATAGGAGAAATGCAGGTGTCCAGCAGAAACACATACAAACAAAACGAATAGCAACTTTAAGAATGATATATTTAACAATCGTAATGAAATACATCAACACAGGTGGTGTAGCCGCTCGGTGGGCAACGTGGCCCAACGGCACCTATGTGTTTGTTCTTACTGCATTCCCTGTGCGAACGGTTTGATTCTCTGATCAGTTGTTGTTGAATCCACAACTGTTGCTGTGATTTAGGGCTGTATACAAACATATTATATTGAATTGAATCATAGAAAAGGCGACCCTTTTTAGTGGCCCCTGAACTGGCAGCATTGATGGTAATATGACTGGTGAACTAAAGTGGCCTTCTCACTGAAAAGTTGCGTTAGATAATCCTGAGCTGAGACGCCACTGCGGGAATGAGGGTTGATGCTTAAAGGGTGTTGCTGCCCTCTGCTGGTCAGTGTGGGCAAAGGGCTGACTGGTGTGAGCATACCATGGATGTATTATAATAACTGGATAGGGTATTACTAGCTTGTAGCTGAATAACTCATGTGCTCGGGGGATTCTCGCGGTACTGCAGACTAAACCAGACTAAATTCACGTGGGCTATCCAGAAATTTTCCCCATAGAACTCAATGCATATTAAAACAGCTCAACCTCAGCTGAAAGAGAACCTACAGCTTTCATAAAGATCGGATTTTGTGGAGATTTTAGTGTCCCTTGTCATCCTGAACTTTTTTTCTTCTTAAATCCTTCGGTTTTGTTTAAATCCACACTTTAGTGCCACAAACTCTGCTCGTCTGGCTCTCGCTCTAACTCCCGCTCTGATGAACTGCTCTGATTGGTCAGAGCGCGGCCGAGCCCCTCTGTGCACGTGCGTGAGACCCGGTGTGAGACCCACACACGCGTGTTTGACGCAACGCATTATGGGAGATCATCCACTGCGCAGAACCGGGAGGACCAGACGATGCCCAAATACAGGAGAGTTTCCCATAGATCTTTGCGAGTTTCAGGCGACTTCCGCTAATCTTTCAGCCTCCATGCTGTCACAAAGCGCCACTGAGCAAAACCATTCATTTGAATAGGGCGCCATCTTGGATCGCCGGGGCTTGGAGCATACCTACCCATTAGTTTCACAATATACGCTCAACAAAAATATAAACGCAACACTTTTGTTTGTGCTCCCATTTTCCATGAGATGGACTTAAAGATCTAAAATTAATTCCAGATACACAAAATTATATATATTAATACACAATTTCTCTCAAACCTTGTTCAAAAATCTGTCTAAATGTGTGCTAGTGAGCGTTTCTGCTTTGCTGAGATTATCCATCCCACCTCACAGGTGTGCCACATCAGGATGCTTATCTGACATCATGAGTAGTGCACAGGTGTGCCTTAGACTGTCCACAATAAAAGGCCTGAAAGGTGCATTATTTAGCTGACCTAGGTGTCAGACACAGTAACTTAATAAAAGTTCAGACAGACAGAAATAGTTCTAGCGGTAGGGTTGTTAAATGTGGTTTAATGAACGTCAGATCAATCTCGTCTAAATCGCTTCTCATAAACGAACTTATTATAGACAAGGGCTTGGATCTGTTTGCGCTCTCGGAGACTTGGCTCCAACAGGACGACTACGTCAGATTGAATGAGTGCACTCCTCCGACGCATGTTAACTACCAGAAAGCCAGAGCTACAGGTCGCGGCGGTGGTGTTGCGATTATATCACACACCAACTTGGTTCTTAGTCCCAAAACCAACAACGCTTTTCACTCGTTTGAAAACTTAACACTTTCAATCACCTGTCCTGGGTGGAGAAAACAAAAAGCAGTACTATTTATAGTTTTATACCGACCTCCTGGTCCTTACAGCGAGTTCCTAACAGAATTCTCTGACTTCATTTCAAACCTAGTTTTGGAATGGGAAAACATAGTTATAGCTGGAGACTTCAATATACATGTGGACGACAGCACTGACAGCTTAAACAAAGCTTTCAGCGCCGTACTAGATGGTGTTGGTTTTACTCAGAATGTCGAGGAACCTACTCACATTCATAACCACACCTTGGACCTTGTCCTGACCTACGGCTGTGATGTCTCCAATGTTGACATCCAGCGTCAAAGCTCGTTGCTGTCTGACCATTTCTTGATCACGTTTGATCTCGCTTTGGAGGACTTTCCTGTCCCGCAAGATAAAACCATAATGAAAAGAACCTTAAATGATAAATCTATCACAAGGTTCAAAGAACTAATACAGCCTATGTTGAATACTGCTGCAGGTGAACCTGTTCACAGCAGCTGCAGTCCCTCAGTCATTGACCAAACGGTGGGCAACACTATGGAGTCTTTAAAATCTGCATTAAATGCAGCAGCTCCTTTAAAACAGAAAACCATTAGGATTAGATCATCGTCGCCCTGGTACAGTGTTCAACTCCACACTTTAAAACAGGACGTCAGAAAATTGGAGAGGCTATATCGCCACTCCCACTCGGAGCCTGTCCACAGGGAGTGGAAAGCAGGTCTCCGAAACTACAAGAAGGCCCTTCGCGGGGCTCGAACTCAATACTACTATTCAACTTTAATAGAAGCGAATAAAAACAACAGTAGATTTTTGTTTGGTACCGTCGCTAAACTCACAAACTGCCATAGCGCAATCGAGCCTAAAATTCCAAGCTCACTGAGCAGTGTCGACTTTCTCCACTTCTTTAATAATAAAATTACATCCATCCGTGACAAGCTGGAGGAGGTTGCTCCTGCTGTTAGTGGTGGACAGGTTGAAGCGGCATACGTGACTTCCCACTTAGACTCTTCAGTGGGCCTTAATAAATTCATGGCTGTGAGCCAAGCAGAGGTGATCTCTGTGGTCACATCCTCAAAAGCCTCAAAAGCCTCAACTTGCATGTTAGACGCAGTCCCGACATGGCTCTTCAAAGACATACTTCCTTTGATAATTGAGCCTATCGTAAATATAATAAACGCATCCATACAATGTGGCTATGTCCCACAAGCTTTTAAAACCGCGGTAATCAAACCCCTTCTGAAGAAAACAAACCTGGACCCAGAAATACTTACAAACTACAGACCGATCTCGAACCTCACTTTTATATCTAAAATCCTGGAAAAACTTATAGCTGAGCAGCTCCGCTGCCACCTGCAGGAAAATGATATGTTTGAAGTCTTTCAATCAGGATTCAGAGCTCTCATCATAGCACTGAAACGGCACTAGTCAAAGTCACAAATGACTTACTACTAGCTGCCGATAATGGACAAGTGTCAGTGCTGGTCCTACTGGACCTTAGTGCTGCATTTGACACAATAGACCACAGCATTCTACTGCAGAGGCTAGAATGTGATATAGGTCTTAGAGGAACAGCCCTTGGCTGGTTTAAATCCTATTTATCAGATCGATATCACTTCGTCAATGTGAATCAGGACTCGTCGCCTTATTCTGGAGTGGAATTCGGTGTGCCGCAGGGTTCGGTACTCGGACCGATTCTTTTTACTCTCTACATGCTGCCACTGGGAAACATTATTAAAAAGCATGGAATTAATTTCCACTGCTATGCAGATGACACACAGCTTTATCTGTCGATGAAGCCTAATCAGACAGATCAGCTAGAAAAGCTCAGTGCCTGCATAAAGGACCTTAAAATGTGGATGACTCTTAACTTCCTACTTCTCAACCCGGAGAAGACAGAAGTGATCCTACTCGGTCCGAAGCGCCTGCGTGACTCCCTCACTAACCAGATGGTTACTCTCGATAATGTCAGTATAATACCCAGTAACACTGTGAGGAATCTTGGAGTCATTTTTGACCAAGAACTCTCCTTCAAGGCTTATATAAGCCAAGCAACTAAAACGGCGTACTTCCACTTACGGAACATCGCTAAAATTAGGAATTTCCTTCCTAAAAGTGACGCGGAAAAACTCATTCACGCGTTTGTCACCTCAAGGCTTGACTACTGTAACGCTTTACTGGCAGCGTGCCCTAAAGCCTCTTTGAAGAGCTTCCAGCTCGTTCAGAATACAGCAGCTAGGATCTTAACAGGTACCAAAAGGAGGGAGCACATAACTCCGGTGTTAAAATCACTCCACTGGCTCCCTGTGGAGTACAGAATAAAGTTTAAAATCCTACTCTTAACATATAAAGCCATAAATGGCTTGGCTCCTTCTTATCTCCAAGACACGTTAGTGTCGTATCAACCAGGTCGAGCGTTGCGCTCACAAAACGCCAGACGTCTGGTGGTCCCTAAGGTCTCAAAGGTCACTGTTGGTGGCAGAGCATTTAGCTACCAAGCTCCTTTACTGTGGAATCAGCTTCCCATTTATGTTAAGGAAGCAGATACGGTCTCCACATTCAAGGCCAGGCTTAAAGCACTTTACTTTAATTTAGCATATAATTAGGTAATATATAATATGTAGTGTATATATTATATATATATGCTGTATTATGTTATATATTATGTTATATATTATTCAATAATGTATTGTGTTATGTTGTATATTATGTTATATATTATGCTGTATTGTTATTCTTTATTCAAGGCTAGGTTTAAAACAGTCCTCTTTAGTTTAGCATATGGCTAGGAAGGTAAGACTCGGAGAAGGTTAAACTCCTCAGAGTGTTAGTCAAGCTGCATAGGGAGTCAGTTTGCTGGGAGAAGTATGGTAACTTGAGCACTATCCTCTCCTCCTTCCTACTTTATCTGTTTAGCATTTTTAGGATTCTGACTGTAGTTTGTTCATTGCTATTCACCCGTTGTCCCATTGTCTGTTTCATGGTACGATGACGGGATCTCTGAGCCTGGCCTCCTCCATCTACACCTGCGGACGTTCAGCGGCCACTGGTCCACGTTCTGTAGCTAGCTTAGGTCCTAGATCATTAGCCTGTCCGTCCGGAGGAGCGGATCCCTTTCTCATATGGGTCTCCCTCCCTGTGGGTTTCCCTAGTTCTCCTCCAAGGTTTCTCACTTTTTCCCACTGGGTTTTTTAAGAGTTTTTCCTTGTCGATGCAGGAGGGTCTTGTTGGACAGTTAGTGTCCAACAGAAAGGATTGGTGATGATCAGGACACTTTAGCATTCTACAACATGTATGGACATTTTCTTCTGTGTGTGCTTTATACTGTATTCTTCATGTGTTTTAACTGTTGATTCTCTGACCTGTGTTGGTGATTTCAATGGTTTTGTTAAGTCCTCTGAGATGACTTCTGTTGTGACCTAGGGCTATACAAGAATAAATTGTATTGTAAATTGTATTGTATTAGCTTTATTGGGGGTCTGGGGACTCAGAGCCAGTCAGTATCTGGTGTGACCACCATTTGCCTCTTGCAGTAAAACACATCTTTGCATAGTGTCTTTGCGTGCGTGTGTGTGCCTGTAGTAAGTGTGTGTGTGTGTGTGTGTCCCTGTATATGTAAGAATTATACTGTATGATGTGGCCTTTTAGTGATTTATTTTATTTATGTATTTGGGAATCTGTTCACACACATGGAAGACATTCAATTCAGCGTTTGTCATTTGCACAAAAATAGTGCAATTATTGACAAGGAGTACACTCAGAACATGAGGCTCAAAAGGAGTAGAGGGAAATGTAAAACTGTGATGTTTGTACACATGCTAACAATGGATAGTAACCTCTGTATTCTGGATGCACAGTAACACGAGTATTCCAGTCTGTGTGTAAGGATGCACAGTAACATGTGTATTCCCGTGTGCGTATGTTTCCAGCTGCTGCTCGCGGCTCCAGAGCAGGAGTCCCGTCTTCAGGATTACTGCAGCTCAGCCGTGTTCATGCAGGTGCTCATGCTCCGAGGATACGGCTTCGACCAGAACTCACTCCCACAGGTTTCTTTCCAGAAGAAGGTACATTGTGTTATCCTCAATATGTGTTATATTATTGTAGAAGCTCCAAATCTAGATTCACATTTGTGTGGTTATGTTCAGTGTTTCCCCACTCACAACAGAAGTGTGAACTATCACACTTCTGAGACACACTGAGCTTTAGTACACTTTTAGAGGTTCAATAAGTTGTGTGTGTGTGTGTATGTGCGTGCGCTATTTCTGTAATGTAGTCCCCAACTTTTCAACTTTTTGCTGGACTCTTTTGCATGTTCCCCTTTTTTCCTGTTAAACAAAAACTAAAATGTAAAAAAAATAATAATAAATTGTGGCCCCAAAACCGAACAAGTCATTTGTGTCTCCCATCAGTTGCTGCCCTGCTTAGCTTCAGAGGCTCGACAGGCTCTTGCTTTCACATGCAGGTGGACCAATTTTAACCAGTGGTACCTTGACAAAATACTGTACATACTCCTGAAATGGGGTTCATCTTTGGACCCCAATGACCAGGGCCAAAGATACAATTGACAAGTCGGGTTCCATCCAGGTGTAAATCTGTTTGAGTTTAGTTGGTTTAGATTTGGGTAATCATTCAACAAATGTATCTTTATTCATCAAAATCCCCTTGCATCTTCAGCTCGGTGCTATAGCGTGCCTTCATGTCCGCTCCCCTCTCCTCTGCTCCTGTAGGTGGGCGACACCTCCATGGGCTGGGCTCTGGGCTACATGCTGACCCTCAGTAACCTGCTTCCTGCAGAGAGTCCTGGACTGACCAAAGCCCTGACGCCCGGAGCCTGGGGGACACTGTTGTTCCTCGCGGCCCTCCTCCTGACGCTCGCTCTGGGCTTCAGTCTGTGGAAAGTCTGCGGAGGGAAAGAGGAGAGCAACGACAGCCCCATCTGACCAGCAGAAACCACAACAGCATCTGAACCATAGACTGTATACAGATGGGCAATGCTAACACGCTAGCTCTATGAAGATTAGAATCTCCAACTCGCTCCAGCTTCTATTGACATACATGTAAAAGTGAACTCCTCTAGCTCAGTTACCGTTCATGTCACTGATACTGTATATGTCTTTGATCCCGGTGTTTACATTTCAATATTATCTTTGTAAATCCAGTTATGAGCCATAAAAAGATTGACCAATCAGATGCCTTCCTTCGAGGGAGAAACTCCAGTTTGCCTTAGCAACCATCATAGCAACAAGTATGCCCCTGTTACGGCGTGACGCTGACGCCGTCAAAACAAATGCCCATAGAAGGAAATTGGCTCCAGCTATCTTTTGCCACTTCCGCATTGAGGCTAACACTATGGTGATGTCACACTTGGTTATTCCACTCCTATTATACGATCTATGCTCCCTAACTCTAAACCGTTCACTTATAAAGTAAACTTCTCACACTCCATTTTGGGCCTAAAAATCCATGGTTTAATGCTCCTGGTGTTTACATCTGTAATCAGAATCAGAATCCTTTGTATTGCCATGTGAGTAACAGGAAGTCAAAAACTAAAATTGTTTTGGCTCTCAGTGCAAACAAGTTAAAGCAGAATAAAAACAAGAAGGGATTCAGAAATAAAAATCTACAGTAATTTTTAACTTTATACGTTTGACCCAAACAAAGATTTAACCTTTTTCAGAATTAGTCCTAAAATCTCTTCTTAGCGTGTTTAAAGGTGATGTCTGTAACTTCAATTACTTTCAGTTTGAAAGTAATACATATTGTACTTTTGACAATATGACCCTGTAGTCTCATCTATTAGAAGTATTTTGCATTAAAACAGTCCCTCCCCTTAGAATGAGCATCAGCAGTGAGATTTGCTGAAGGAGAATAGATCGTCCAATGGGAAAGAGCCTCAGTTGTCGATCAAGGATTTGAAATTGGAATACTGTGGGGCCTTAGCCAGCCGTACACTCCGCTCAATTATCATTTCCTGCATATAACGTCTGGGTCTAGTCCCTGTTTTTGCGATTACAATCAGTTGAATTCAATCCGACCAATCAGCGAGCGTGGGAGGCGGGTGTTGTAGTTAGTTGTGGGTGACGTCAAGAGTTTGCGTCGAACGGGCAGGTTCTTGTTTGGCAATGGCGAAGAATGCGATAGTAAAGTAATCCGGTCTGGTTCTATCAAGAAATTGAAGCCAGAGCAAGAGGAATGTTTAGCAAATGTAATCGCTGGAAAAGATTGTGGCGCTACTCCCCACGGGCTCTGTTAGCGGCAAAGGAGATGGCTAGGCTAAATGCTAACGACTCACTAAGGTGCATTACAGATGACGAGGTAAACTCAGATCCAATCGTTTCAATCTGCAAAAGGAGTTAACCCCTCCCACCTGTAAACAGAGTTCAATGGAGCACCTGCAAACCTTAGTACGAAATGTAATCTGTACTATGGTGTGGTACAACCAGGCTACTGTGGGGCGCTTCTTTGTCACAATTTGAAAAGTTATTGTCCTTTCCTTTTAAATAAATGAAAAAAATATATATGTCTAGAATCTTTTAGTTGCGATATCCGAAGTCCGACCAATCGGGTGCTTTTCCACTTCAGATTTGACTTTAGCCAACAGCGAATACAAACAAACCAGCGCTGTCCTGATTGGCTCGTTGGTTGCCAGGTTGTTGCTACCCTTTCATTTCCAGATGCCCGCCCATGGAACAGTCTATGAACCGACCACGACACTGGAGACTTCAGAAGAAACACATCTGGGATATTTCTATGTGGGGGAAAAACAGAATTTAATTGCACTAAAATATTTTTTTTAACGCGTGGAATTTCCGTGAATTTGAATGAGTTTTTATTATTATATTTATTACGACTTGCTTTTTAACAAATATGATTTTCGTTGTTGTTTTTTACACTGTTATTTTAATACAGATTTATGTGTGAGAGAAATATAATGAAGTCAGCAAACAAGTCCATCTCACTGACTGCGACTATGAATGTGCACTGTAGAATAAAAACCAACAAAAGATCACTTGGTTTATAATCATAACATGGGTAAATGATTCAGGGTGGAAAAAAACCCTAATTGCTAATCTATATTTATTATTGTATTTTTTTTAATATCTTTTAAATGTGATTTTCTAGGATTCTTCTTGACTTGAATGGATGTTTATCAAACCTGGAATTCATAACTCACTTATCACTTCTGCAGCACTTTTCTATCTGTCTTGGTTTTAAAATGTGGCAAAAGTGGAAAGGACTGGATTGTGCTCAGCCTACTTTGACTTTTGTACTTGGTTAATCTCACAATGTATTGATTGCTTTTTTGTTATTAATTCCTGCTGTTGAACTGTGTGTTTTCTTATATCTTGAAATGGATAAAATAAATGACATTAAATATTTGATTCTGATCCTATGGTTATTTTTTTATATATATTTGTTTTTGCCATTTATTGGAACAACAAACGGACACTTATGACAGGTTCTGGCTCCATCCAAAATCATAAAAATAAAATTTATTCTAAAAAGCTGACAATAGTAATAATCAGCAACAGCCCTTCAGGTCACAGCAGCAGAAGTGGAGTAGCCTCTGGGTGGAGCAGGACGGGTCACAGCAGCAGAGGTGGAGTAGCCTCTGGGTGGAGCAGGACGGGTCACAGCAGCAGAGGTGGAGTAGCCTCTGGGTGGAGCAGGATGGGTCACAGCAGCAGAGGTGGAGTAGCCTCTGGGTGGAGCAGGACGGGTCACAGCAGCAGAGGTGGAGTAGCCTCTGGGTGGGTGGAGCAGGATGGGTCACAGCAGTAGAGGTGGAGTAGCCTCTGTGTGGAGCAGGACGGGTCACAGCAGCAGAGGTGGAGTAGCCTCTGGGTGGAGCAGGACGGGTCACAGCATTAGAGGTGGAGTAGCCTCTGGGTGGAGCAGGACGGGTCACAGCATAAGAGGTGGAGTAGCCTCTGGGTGCAGCAGGACAGGTCACAGCTGTTTTGATATTTAAAAGCAGGCACGACCTAAAGAGTTATTCTGAAATGTTCGCATGGTCGGAACAGGGCCTTTCTGAGTGGAGTTCATGTTCTCCCCGTGTCTGCGTAGGTTTCCTCCGGGTACTCCGGTTTCCCCTACCACTAAAACACGTACAATAGGTCTGACATGCGCCTCCTGTACTGGCGACCTCACTCTCATCTCTGAGTGGAGTGAGAAAAATGCCCTCAATTGCAATGGTGTAGGTTTGGTTCCAATCTTGGTGGGGACATTCACTACGACCTGAGTCTACACCCATTGACACGGGGTCCAGAGTTTCTCCCCCAGAATTTGTTGTGTAATCACACACTATATTTGCAATAGTGTGTTGCCTTCTACACTAAACTCAGCTGTAGACTGAATGAGAAGCAGTTAAGGATTTTTTCTAATAGTTAAAACAAAATCAATTGGATCAGAGCTTCTGAGTTTTGTGTTGCGTTCATTCTATACTGACTTAAACCTAATCCAAATCTACATAATAGCCCTCACCTGAGGCTCTAACAGTTCAGGAACTGCTCTCGATACTTGAAATAAATCATGCTCTGATCTTTCAATTTCCTATAATAAATAAAAACAGAGGAGAAAATATTGAATTAGAATCTACAGTGAGTAGCTCACTACATTGTTTGACATATATGATTAATCTCTAAAAACAATACATAGTCCCATGCATACCTACAAAATTCCAACCTCACCTGATGCACTGAAGGGCCTGTTGCTTCTACCTCAACATTCCCTATATTGTTCTCTCTTGTTGGTTGAGTTTCCTATGTATGTTAACAGAAGATTAATCATCACAATTCATAATTTGCGATTACTTGTGATTTCTCTTACTTACTTTCCAACTGTTAAAAAAGCTCCTGATATCTTTTATCGTTTTTTGTGGAGGTGGCATTTTTTCTAAATTATATAAGAAGGTATAGACAATCAAAAACGGACATTCATATACATGAACTGCAGAATAATTTATATAACTTGGCCAATGTCAAAAGTTACATAGTATTTCTCAATACAATGAGTTAACAAGAGTTTGGCAATAAGTAACAGTGTGGATTTTTCTATATTTTCTTTTTTTTTATTCCACTCTCAACCCAAAAAGGCAAGTAATGACTCACAGGGCTCTCAAGTATGCAAAATAAAAACTTAAATGACCTGTTGTGGTGTGTTTTGCGCACAACCAGCATGCATCGTTAACGCAATGGAAAATTTACGTATCCGAGCTTTAATTTCGGGAGCGCTGGTTGCGCTTTGGGAAGAGTCAGGGGAGAGACATGTCAGAGACACAGGGGAGAAACGGGGGAGATACGAGGGAGACCCGCACTTGCAACATGGTTCTGTCTGCATATGGTCCGAGCTCGGTACCATGTTAGAGCTGTGCTTTCACTGAGCGCCGCGGCTGTCATTACAAAGCGGCAGCAGCTGCACCAGAACGTGCACATTCGAGTGCATCGCTTGAATGTGCTTAGAGCAAATAACAGCAAGTGCCCGCTGTCACACATTTCACAGAAATCACATTATCAGCAGATAAAGGTTGTAAATCGTGGATCCGTGGAATATTTTCATCCCTAGTTTATCCTGATTCACACAACACACCCACTCATACATTTTGGATAGTAAGAGCACAATAAGTATTTTTTCAGCCTTTCACCAGCTGTTTCTTTATTGGAGCCAGTTCTGTTCTGTCTCTGTGCCGTGTGAGCTCCTCGGAACATTAAACAGTGCGCTGACAGATTAGAAATAACGTAAGTACTTTGAATGGTAATAGATCTACAGTACTTTCCTCTGATTACTCACGTGCTACAACGCTCAGGGAACGAAATAAAACACTTGCTTCACGCTGGCTAACTTTTAAAAATTAAACAGTTACTCAGTGCTTCAGTTTGGCGCTGAAGAAGACAGCCAATCACTGCAGAGAACGGAACGGGTCACGTGCTGCTGCTGCTGC